AAGGCTCAGCAGGCTCCAGCAGAGCCCAGGGCACGCACTGGGTGATGGACACCCGTACCCGGCTGTTCTCCTGGTCCAGCAGCGCCGTGGGGATGCTCTGGAACACCACGACACAACTGGGGCACAGCTAATGGGCACATCCATCAGCTCAGCCACCGTGGAGACACGGGGGAAGCTCTGACAGCGCCCTCCACCCTGCCTCTCCCTGCTGCCCTTCACTGGGGCTGCCAAGCACCGCTGCATCCCAACCCTCACACAGGCAGGGGCTGCCCCAGGGCACTGCCACCCCTCTTGCTGCCCCCTCCCCAGCCCCTCACCATTCTCAGCAGCAGTGCCAGCAGGATGAGCTCTCCCAGTGTCCCTGTCCCTGTCCCTGCTGGGCACGGCGCCCTGGGCACCTCAACGTGGGGTCAGCGCTGCGGGAAACTCGCAGCTTCCCGTGGCACCTCTCCCTTGCCGAGGAAGGGCACCCAAATCACCTCCACTGTCCTGCTGGCACAGTCCTGCAGCTCCGGGGAGCGCAGCAAATCGATCCCTGGAACAACTTCGGCCTGCAGGGAGGAGCAGCTCCCCCGAGGACAATGTGGGGTTGTCCCCACCAGCTTCAGCCATGGGCAAAGGGGGTGGGGGACCCCTCGGAGCTTTTAGGACCCCTCGTTGGAATGTTGCTGACAAAAACTTTAGGAGAGCAGCGGGATCACAGAGGAGACCCCGCGGGACACACCAAGGGTGAGTTCTCCTCACTGCAAGGACTGAGGGCAGTGCAGAACCCCCCAGCACTGGGGTTTCACAGGTTCTCCAGAACCATGGACATTCCCTGTTACAGAACGCTGAAATTTCCCGGGGCCAGGTAGGATTACAGGTGTTAAAGAGCAAGACAGGGGCTGGGAGGCGGCAGGGACCCCTGCCTGCTCCTGTGCAGGCACAGGGGATGCTGGGGTGTCTCAGGGGGAGTCCAGAGCCACATCCCTGCACAGAGGGGCACAGGAAAGGGAACAGCCTGGGACAGTGGGGTCCGGGGCAGTAAGGGGTGTGAGGGGCAGCTCTGGGGGACAGCACAGGGAGGCTCCGGTGCGGGTGGCCTCGGGCTGTGCCGGGTCAGGATCAAACTTTCTCCCGGGATACAGCAGGGCTGCCTCAGCGATCCTTGCAGATGCTCTGCAGTGCTGCCGGGGGACGCGGCCGCTCTTCCCCGGCGCGTTTAAAGGGCCGGTAGAAGGAGGGAAGGAAGGAACGAAGGGGATGAGGAACCTGCGCGCTCCGGAGGGCAGGGAACCCCCGGCGGGGGCGAGCAGGCAGCGGCAGCACAGCGAGAGGGGAAAGCACCGCTCCGAGGCAGAGCTGCGGGCAGCCGAGCGCTGGGATGGCAGAAGCAGCCAGGTACTCACCGCAGTCTGTGCCCGGGAGCTCTCGCTCAGCTCGCAGCCCAGCCAGGACAGTCCTGCAGAGCCGGATCGCTGCGGTGCCTCCTGCCCACCGCCAGCTGCCGGGATGCCAGCCCGCCACGTCTCTCAAAGGTCACAGCCAGAGGACCTTGCAGTAAACATAAGGTGCTGATGGGAAGCTCCGTTCCAGCTCTGTTGCCGCCTCCTCCTCCCCCTCCATCGCAGGTGGGCTCTGCCTGCTCCGGGAGCTCAGCATCGTCTGCCTCGGGCGGCTCTGGGAGGAGGCTGGGGCTGTCCTCGGGGGCAGAGCCTGGCAGATGCTCCAGGGCAGCCGGGGCCAGCGCTGTGCCAGAGCTGCAGCCCAAGAGCTCTGCTCAGCCCTACCTGGTCGGGAGCCACGTGGAGGGAGGCAGGAGCCCTGCNCAGGAGGGTCACCAGCCCTGGCAGAGCAGGGACAATGCTCTGCCTGTCCAGCCCAGGGATGGTGCCAGGGCTGCTCCCCCTGCTCCTGCTGGGAAATTCCGCTCCTGGCTGGATGCAGAGTGTGTGGATGTGCCTGGAAGGCAATGCCAGGCCCCAGGAGGAGCTCTGTGCAGGCAGGGCAGCGTGGGGACAGGGTGGCAGCTCAGCTGCCAGGGTGGCTGCCTGTGACACCCCCCGAATCCATCTGCATTTGCAGCGCCCCCGAGGCTGGGCATGGAGGTCATGGCCCCCCCCATCATCAACGCCCTGAACGGCTCCTCTGTGAAGCTCTCCTGCACCTTCAACTCCTGCTACAAGGTGGAGAACAAGCAGTTTTCCCTCAACTGGACGTACCAGGAGTGCAGTAACTGCTCGGAGGAGCTGGTGAGTCTCGCTGGGGTTGTGCTGGGGGCCTGGGAGCAGCTCAGAGGGTGTTCCTGGGGGTTTCTTGCATGCAGGGAGGGGGTGCCTGGCTGGGAAATGACCATGGGGTGCTGCCTCACCCTCTGTCCCCACGGCTGCCCAGTTCCTGCAGTTCCGCACCAAGATCATGAACAAGCAGCTGGATCGCTTCGGGAACCGCGTGGAGTTCACCGGCAACCCCGCCAAGTACGACGTGTCCTTCACCCTCAAGAACGTGCAGCTGGAGGACGAGGGCACCTACAACTGCTACGTGCTGAACCCCCCGGACCGGCACCGGGGCCACGGCAAGATCAGCCTGAAGGTGCTCACCCAAGGTCAGTGGTGCCTGGCGCTGGGGGCACCCAGGGGGCAGGATGCTGGCAGAGCCCAGCATGGCACCTACACAGCAATGCTGAACAGGTGTCCCTTCTCTGCATGTCCCTGTGGGTGCCCCCACGTCCCTGTGCAGAGAAGGGACACTTTGCAGCATCCCTGTGCAGACAAGGGACACTTTGCAGCATCCCTGTGCAGGTGCCATCCCAGCAATGCCATCAGGCCCCAGGGATGGGGGACAGCTGTGCCCTCCCCGCTCTGCCCCATCGCTTCCCTCCCCTGCACACCCTGAGCCCGTCCCTGTGTCCCCAGAGCCCCCCAAGCACGACTCGACGGTGGCCGTGATCGTGGGTGCCTCCGTGGGCGGCTTCCTGGCCGTGGTGATCCTGGTGCTGATGGTGGTGAAATGTGTGCGCCGGAAAAAGCAGCAGAGGCTCAACACGGACGACCAGAAGACGGAGGAGGAAGGGAAGACGGATGGTGAAGGCAACCCGGACGAGGGCACCAAGTAAAGGCCCCGTGCCCGCCCCTCCCTCCTGCCCCCTGTACAGTGTGACCCTCTTGATGTGCTTCCAGAGCAAGGATTTCTGTGTCCCCAGAGCATCCCTCCTTCCATGCCAACACCCACCCCAGCCTGGAGCAGGGCGCAGAGAGGAGGTCCCTGGAGCCTGGCTGGGCTGGGCAGGGCTGGGGAGAGGGGCTGAGGCCCTGAGGCTGAGCTGGCACCGGCCTGTCCCTTGCTCTGGGTTGTGCCAGTGTAGTGAGGAGGTGCTGGGGACAGGCTGGGGTGGGTGAGGGGGATCTGTGCAGCCCCCACAAACAGAGGGGCTGGAGCAGGGGGTGCCAGGCTGCCCATGCTCAGCAGGGAGATGTGAATGCTGGCGTCAAACTCACCTGTTTCTCTGGCCCCAGCAGCCCTCAGGCACCTCTGCAGGGGTGACAGACATCCCTGCACCCCGAGGATCCCTCTGCCTGCCCTCTCACAATTAGTGATGCTCCAGCAAACGCTGTGCTGCTCCTCCCGTCCCCACAGAGTGCCTGAGGCGCTGCTCCCCTCACTGCATCCATCACCTCTGTGTATCCATCACCTCTCTGTATCCATCACCTCACTGCATCCATCACCTCTCTGTATCCATCACCTCACTGTATCCATCACCTCACTGCATCCATCACCTCTCTGTATCCATCACCTCCTTTTATCCATCACCTTCCTGCATCCATCACCTCACTGTATCCATCACCTCACTGCATCCATCACCTTCCTGCATCCATCACCTCACTGTATCCATCACCTCCCTGTGTCCATCACCTCTCTGTATCCATTAGCTCCCTGAGTCCATCCTCTCCCTGAGTGCATCCCTTCCCTGAGTGCATCTACTCCCTGAGTCCCTCCCTTCCCTGAATCCATCCCCTCCCTGAATCCATCCCCTCCCTGACTCCCTCCCTTCCCTGACTCCCTCCCCTCCCTGAATCCCTCCCTAACTCCCTCCCCTCCCCGAATCCATCCCCGTGCCCGCCAAGGCACCTTCTGCTGCATCAGCAGAGCCGAGCACGCTGCTCCTGCAGCACCGGCTGCCAGCGCTGCCCTGCCTGCTCCGCCGGTATTTTTCCTGCCTCTCCTGCCAGCTCTGCAGCCCTAACGCCTCAACCCACGGGCACTGCTGGCATCCTCTCAGGCTCCCCTGGGATGTCCCCGTGCCCTGCAAAGCCTCCTGCTCTCCCTCCTCTCTGCTGCCTTGTGCTGCAGAGGGGGCTGGACAGGGATGGGGAGCTGTAAGACGCCCTGAAGGTGACAGGCTGTGGCATTTTAGACGTGCAGGCAGCATCCCTGCAGGTGAGCTGCTCTCACACCCAAAACCCAATCAGTCCAGTTCGGGAAGGCCATGCCTGGTCCCTGGGGCGAGCTTTGCCAGGACGTGTGCCCTGCGTCACTGCAGCCCAGAGAAAATGCAGCGCCGTTCCTGCTCCTGTTCCTTCCTTCCCGCCATGGCTGTTTTGGGATGCGTCACCCTCTGCAAACGCCGCTCTCTGCACAGAGCTCCCTGGCTAATGGACCTGGGCACCGAGGTGAGGCTCTGCCTGCCCGCACCACACCCCAGGGCTTCCATTAGGAGAGCCCCAGGCCTAATGGATGCGAGAAAAGGTGGCTGAGATGGGAACTTTGCACAGCCTATTATCCCGGAACAAGAGCACGGTGAGAAAAAATGAGTTCTGGGTGTTCTCTTTGGCACCGGGCGGGTCCCTCTGCAGCCATTGGGGTCTGGCTCTGCATCCCACCTGTGTCTGCTGTCCGTGTCGGGGATGGAGGGCAGGGACACCTGGTGCCACACTGCCGAGGTGCCCCAAAGCAGAGCTGAGCCCCAGCCTCCTCCTGGTTTGTTGTCCTGGGAAGCCACCGGCCTTAGTGGCACTTTGGCCTCTTCCCAAGGTGGCCCAGGCCAACAACAGCCCAGTGTTTCCAGGCCACCACAGGACCACTGAGGTAGGAAAAACCTCTAAGATCAAGCCCAACGATCAACCCAGCACTGCCAAGGCCATCTCCAAACCACATGGCCAAGTGTGGGGCTTGGGACAGGGGGCGGGGCCTATCAGTGAATGGGCGTGGCCTCATTGGGGAGAGGGCGGGACCTGACAGCTAGTAGGCGTGGCCATGAACTGGGCAGTTGTTGACTGTGCCTCTGTGAGTGACCCAAAACACCCAAAATACATCCCAAAAAACAAAAAACCTCAAAATCTATCAAAAAATCCACCCCAAAAAATCCCTAAATCCATCCCAAAATCCACCCCAAAATCCCAGTGTATCCCAGGTATATCCAGGTGTGCCCAGGCGTATCTGAGGTGTATCTCAGGTAACTCTCAGGTGTGTTTTCAGGTACATTTCACCCCCGAGTGCCGTTTCAAGGACGGCGCTGCGTGTTCAAGAACTCTCACGTGCTCTACGCCTCGGCCCTGTACCTGGGGCTGGACCGGCATGGGTGGCCAATGGACAGACCACGGGTATGAAAGGACAAAGCTGCCGAGCATTTCCCACCCCAGATGCTCGAGGGTGAGTCAAAATATCCAAATCTGGGGTTTTAGACCCAAAAATTGGTGTTTGAAACACAAAAAATGGGGATTTGAACCCAAAAATGGGGATTGGGAACCCAAAATCCTTGGGGAACAAAGTCAGCACAGCCATATGGTTTGAACTCTTCCAGGGTTGGTGACTCCACCACTGCCCTTGGCAGCCTGTGCCAGGGCTGGACAACCCTTTCAGTGAAGAAATCTTCCCTAAAATCCAACCTAAACCTCCCCTGACACAGCTTAAGGCTGCTTCCTTTTGTCCTGTCATTTGTTACCTGGCAGAAAAGCCCGACCCCCGCCTGGCTCCACCCTCCTTTTCGAGAAGGTCCCCTCGAGCCTCCTTTCCTCCAGTTTAAACCCCCCAGCTCCCTCGGCCTCTCCTCATCCCGCTGGTACTCCAGCCCCTTCTCTTGACACACTCCGGCACCTCAATGTCCTTCTTTCGAGGGGCCCAAAACTGCTCCCAGGATTCGGGGTGCGGCTCCATTAGTGGCGAGCCCAGGGCACCGTCACTGCCCCGGCCCGGGGAGCGCCCCCCGATCCCCGATCCCCCATCCCCGGGAGGGCGGGTGCGTGGGGGGATGCGCGGGGGGATGCGGAGGAGCGCGGAGGAGCGCGGAGGGATGCGATGGATGTGGAGGAATGCGAAGGAGCGCGGGGGGATGCGATGGATGCGGAGGAGCGCGGGGGGATGCGGAGGAGCGCGGAGGAGCGCGGAGGAGGGCTCAGCGCAGCCCCGCCCGGCGCGGCCCCGCCCGGCGCCGCTCGCCCTCGGCGGGGGCGGCCAGAGCCGGGCGCTGCGGGCAGCAGGGACCGCTCCGCTCCGCGCCGCCCCGCGCCGCAGCCATGGCCCCGGGCTCGCCCGCCGCTCGCCGCCGCGCCGCGCCGCGCCTGCTGGCCGCGCTCCTGGGTAAGGGGCGCCGAGGGCTGCGGGGACCCCTCCGGGTACCGCCCGCGTCCCGTGTCCCCCCACCCCGGCTCCCCGGCGGGGACTCAGCCCCAGGCGGGGGTCCCCGCTCCGCACCCGTCCCTGCGCCCCGCCCGCCGCGCCCGGGGATGCCGCTAACGCCGCTCTCCGCTCTGCAGACGGACGGTCCGGAGCGCCGGGGATAAGTCACTCGGCCAAGGTGACTTCGCAGCCGAGCCCCAGCTCCGAAGTCCCGGCTCCAGCCCCTGCCCTGCCCGCAGCCGGCGCTTCTCCTGCGAGCACTGCGGCTGCACCCCGCTTTGCCCCGCTGCCGAGCCCCGGCCGGCGGGGACCGCGCTGCTGCCCGCCCGGCACCGGGGGATGCCCGCGGGGAGCCCGTGCACTGCTTCAGCGCCAGCACGCCCGCCGACAGGTCATTGTCTTACGGTTCCTTTGGTACAACCGCCCGCATGTGCTTGTCCCCGCCGCGGGGCCGCTGCTTGGAGCATGACGCCCGGCGCTGTGGCCGGGGATGCCCGAGATCCCCCGCCACAGGGCGCAGGGAGGGGCTGGCAGCCGTTCCCTCCCCGCTGCACACCTGGGGCAGGCTTCGGCCGCCTGCATCAGCCTCACGCCCCCGCTGCACTCCTGCTCCTCCCGCGGGTCACCCTCGCCCCAGCCCGCAACCCAGGGCTGGCTGGGCAGCGCTTGCTGCTGGGGCACTCCCGTGGGAGGCGTTTTAGAGGGCAAAGTTCTTAAGTTAAAGGATGCTGGAGACACAAACAAGCCATGTAAGTACCTGACCCCCTGCAAGATTTGGGTGCCAGCACCTGAGCTGGCACTGGGGTGGTAGGAAAGACTCGGAGAGGCTTGAGAGCGCTCAGGGGTCGGGGGTGCAGGGCGTGGAGGTGCGAACAGGGTCCCACAAGTCGCTCAGGTGGGCTGGGAGCTGGGAGGGCGCTGGGCAGGGAGTGCAGGGCGGGTCTCTCTGTAGGTGTTGGGGATGCCGTGCTCCGCCGGGAATGTCAGCAGGCTCCTGGCTGCAGCACGGAGCAGGGCACAGCTCCTCCCAGGGAGAGCTGGGGGCCGTGTGTCCTGTCCCCCAGCGCACCTGGCTCGGGCTGCGCACGGAGCTCCTCTCTTTGAGCCCGCTGGAGAGGAGCCCGGCCAGCCTGGCAGGCATGGCTTGCTGCCTGCGCCAGCATGTCACGCTGCCTTCTCTGGGCAGTGAAAGTTTCTCTCGAGCAGCTTTCCCACAGATGGCAGCCCGGGGTGAGCGCGGAGCCCCCTCGCTCTGGGGGCTCTCCCTCTGCAGGGGCAAAGCACAGGCAGCCCAGGCTCTGGTGGCAGCAGTGGCTGCTCCCTGCTTCCCTGGGAAACGCTGGAGCCTGCAGGCATGGGAGGGAGCCTGCACCCCCCAGGAGAGTGGCCCTGAGGCTTGGGGGTCTGGTGGTGCAAAGTGCAGCAGCTTTGGGAGGGTTTGGAAAGGCAGCGCTGAGAGCTGGTGTGTGGCGCTGCTCCCCCAGCGTGTTTTCCTGGGTGCTTTATTTAGTGGTAACATATCAGCTTTGTCTTCCTGAGAGCACAGGATGACAGGAGCAAGGTCAGCCTCGATTTACCCTACACGTTCAATTCAGGTTACATTCTAAGGGTGGCAGACAGGTTTTAAAGTGTTGCAAGCTGCAAGGAATCATCTTTCCTGCGAGTGTCCGCTTGCAGCGCGCTGCAGCCTCAGAGGTACCTGCAGAGCCAGGCATCCCCCTGCCAACTCCTGCTCCAGGGGCGCAGCTCCTGTCCCCTGGGACACTCCTGCCTGTGAATCCCCCTCTGCAGCACCCCCAGAGCTGCTCGAGGAGCTGCAGGAGATTCCATCTGCCGGGAACCACTCCCTGCCTGCCGAGCAGAATGAGGAGTGCTCCTGTGTAAAGTTAAATAACTCCTCGCCTGCAGTGCTTGCAATGCAGCACTGCAGCAGGGCCCGCAGCCCAGGATGCAGGGCTCTCGGGCTTGGCTCCGGCTGCGACGTGCCTGGGGAGTTGTTAGCACCGGCTTGTGTGGGAGAATAAATCAGCAGCTGAGGCGGCTGCGGAGAGAGGAGAATCCTGACAGAGGGCAGCGTGTCCGAGCTGAGCTGTTGGGGCAGCTGGGGATCGTCCTGCAGCCCTGGGAAAAGCTCTGACCCCTGGGTTTTGTGCCCAGGGAAAGCTCTGCAGGGCTGGCTGAGGTCTGGGAAAGGGGAGGACAGCGCTTTGCTGGGCCGTGCCACATCTTAGCCATGTCACATCACACAAACAGGACAGGGCAATCCTGGGATGGGGATGGGGATGGGGAGCGGGGCTGCTCCTCTGGGCAGGACCAGAGCATCCCTGTGCTCCCAGAAAGGATCTGTGGGGACAGCGGTGGCCCAGCCCCGTGCAATGCCAGGCCCTGCACCCAGGAGTTGGAGCTGGGCTCCTACCTGCCCCTCTCTCCCTGCCCCTCTCTCCCTGCTCGGGGTGGGGAAAGCCGAGGAGGAGCAGGACAGCCGCCTCCTGCACTTTGAAGGTCGTCAGGCAGCTCTGGAGGGAGGCAGGGCTCTCTCAGCTGGACGTGGGGGCTGCTCCCGAGGGCAGGGCAGGGCAGGGCAGGGCAGTGGGTGGCAGGCGGCCAGGACAGCCTCGCTAATTGCTGCTCCAGCTCCCGCCTGAGGAACAGAGCTCTGCTTCGCCTTGGCTTTTTTCTCCCCCTTCAAGGTCCAGCTGAGGCCTGTGGATAACATGCAAATCAGGGCTCTCATTTGCACGCTTTCTTCCTGGCGATATTCTGGTTACTTTGAACCCGCGCTGTCTCTGAGGGTGACCCAGCCCCAGTCCCCTCTATCACTGAGCCCTTCCAGGGCTGGGGACAGGCTCCTGCCATGGCAGCCGGGTGTGCCAAAGGGGATGACGGGTGACAAAGCCTTGGCCTCACTCTCTGCTCCCCTCTCCCTGCCAGGTTTGCACGTCCTGGCCATCGCCTTCGCCCTGGAGGTGTCGGTGGGGAAAACCAACACGGTGACAGCTCTGAATAACTCCAATGTCCTGCTGCCCTGCACCTTTGCCACCTGCATAGGCTTCCAGGACCTGGTCTTCAAATGGTATTTCAACACGACAGAGCTGGTGGGTGGCTCTCCGGGCTCTGCCTCTGCTTCCCTGGCAGCTCCTGTTGTGCTTCCCCAGCACAGCTAGCACTGAAGTTCTCACAGTTCCCTTTCTCCTCGTGCAGGATGTCCTTCTCTCCGTGTCACCAGCTCTGGGGGGGACAAGGCTGTGCCAAGGGGTGACTCAAATACCCCAGAACATCGTGCTTTTGGCACAAAGCTGAACTAGATTTGCTGCTGCCCACAGGCTCATTTGTTTTCATAAATTGGCTGTTCAGGTGCAAATCTGCACTTAGGGCAAAATATGGTTCATTTCCTCCTCCTTGGCTTGCTTTGAAATATGAAAGGTTCTGTATAGATTTGCTTCCTGCTGGGAATATTTGGCTCCTCAATTCCACAGCAGGAGGGCCGATTTGGAGCAGCTCTGGCCATCAAAGGAGCTCACTTTCTCTGGGGATCTCCCATTTTTTGCATGGTCTGTTCCATTTCTTCAGGGCAGGATTTGATGCTCCCCACCAGGATGTTCATCAGGTTCCTCTCCACGGCCATTCCTGCTTTAATGGGGTGCAATGGGACATTTGGTGGGGGTGTCTGTGTGGGCAGAGCTGAGTCTGGGCACCACCAGGAGAGCGTGAGCCTTTCCCTCACCCAGCTGATCCTGCCCCCTGCCCCTGCAGATTTACCACGGCAAGATAAAGGCCAAGACCACGGAGCCCACCCTGGTGTGGCACAACCCGCGGGTGGAGTTCGTGGGCTCCACCACCAAGAAGGACAACAACATCTCCATCGTGCTGAACGGCGTGGAGTTCAGCGATGCTGGCAAGTACACCTGCTACGTCAAGAACCCCAAGGAGAGGAACGCCGAGCAGAACGCCACCATCTTCCTCACCGTGGTGCACAAGAGTGAGTGCTGGCCAGGGGTGGCTCTGGGCTGGTGGCAATGCCCCTTGGTTTGTGGTTGTGCTGGTTGGCATCCCTGGAAGCCTTGTGGGGATGAGGTTTTGGGTTTTTGGGGTGGGATGTCCATCTCCCTGCTCACTTTCTCAAGTCCCCTCGGCACCTTCTTTCCCGCAGTGGTGGAGACGGACAACACTGTGACCATCATCATCTTGAGCGTGGTGGGGGGGCTCATCGGCCTCCTCATCCTCTTCATGCTCATCAAGAGGGTGGTGCTGTTCATCATCAAGAAGATGCAGGATGGGAAGTGAGTTGGGGTGGGGTCGGGGTGAGGGGGCCGGGCTCAGGGGGCTCTCAGGGCTGGGCTTGGGGGATTCTCAGGGTCAGACTTGGGTGCTCTTGGGTCCAGGCTCAGGGGGCTCTCAGGGATGGGCTCAGGGGGCTCTTGGGGCCGGGCTTGGGGGATTCTCGGGGTCAGATTTGGGGGTTTCTCAGGTCCAGGCTTTGGGGGGCTCTCAGGACCGGGCTCAAGAGGCTCTCGGGGTCAGGCCCTCGGGGCTCTCAAGGCTGGGCTTGGAGGATTCTCAGGGTCAGATTTGGGGGCTCTTGGGGCTGGACTCGGGGTGCTCTCAGAGTTGGGGGATTCTCAGGGCTGGGCTCGGGGTGCTCTCAGCTGCCCGTGCGCTCTCCCCCTGCAGGAAGGAATGTCTGGTGAGCTCGTCAGGGAACGACAACACCGAGAACGGCCTGGCCGGCTCCAAGGCGGAACAAAAAGCTCCACCAAAGGCATGAACGGAGCGGCGGCGCCCCGCGCCCGCCTCGCCCCGCCGCGGCAGCCCGGGCACGGGACCAGCCTTCCCCTTTTGTTTTCTTTCCGAACTGCCAGCGCTTGAGACATGTTCCTATTACACACGTGCCTGCAACCTGCACTGCTTCTCCGACAGGGCTGCGGCTGCCGGGGGGACTGGGAGCTTCTCGCGGACTCGCACTGGGAGGCTGCTGGGTTGAGCACAGGCAAGAGGGTGCCGGGCAGGGCAGGGGCACGGGCAGGGTGGGTGCCGTGCCCAGGGCAGGGTGCTGGCACCGGGGCCCGCTGGGTGCTGAGCTGGGGTGGCTGGGAGCGGCTGCTGCTGCATCCAAAAGGTTTCTGGAGCAGGATGCTCAGAGCCGGCCGTGCAGATGGCATGGTGCAGGAGAATGCAGGGCTGTGATAAGCACACTGGAGAACCAAATCAGCGACAGGGCCCTGGCTGTGCCTCGGTGCCTCCCTCCCAGGGCAGGGCCGGGGAGGTGCCCGTGTCCCAGGGCATCCCTGGGGGCAGGGGGCTTCTCCCCAGGCAGCCACCCGGCTTGGTGCTGCTCCCTCCCCTCTCTCTGGAGCTCGGTGCTTTTGATGCCCGTGCCAAGGCTGAGCTCATTACGTGGATGTTTTTGTGTGAGATTCCAGGGGAAAGCAGCCAATTGTGTTTCCCTTTCACCGCGGCAGGGAGGGAGCACGGCCGAGCCCAGGCCAGGGGAGCCAGGCTGGGGCTGTGCCACCGACCTGCTGGGCAACCCTGGGCAAGTTGCCCTGCCTCTCCATGCCTCAGTTTCCCCGTCTGTAAAATGGGGACAAAAATACTGCTCTACCTCACGGGGTGGGTGTGAGGTTTCCTTGGCTGTGAGGGGTGAGTGGACTCACAGGACGTGAGACACAAAGTGGGCAAGCTACATCTGAGCTTGACAATTTCCTTTAAAACATGATTTGTTCCCTATTTCTCCAATTTGTGAGTGTCTGGCAGTGATGCTGCAGGACAGGCAGCTCCCCTGGCCCCACAGTAAATTGGGATTCTCAGCAGAGCCATGGCTTGCTGTGGGGTGCCCTGGCAGAGGTGCTGCAGTGGGAGCAGGTGGGGATTTGGTGGCCAAGGTGACAAGGAAAGGCTGGGTGCTACTTTCTCTGGAGATGCTGGAGCACAGCAGGCTGGTCACCCCAGGCTGGGCCTGGGGACACCCATTGGAGCAGGGCTGTGTGCTCAGGACAGGGGACAGGCACTGGGGGACAGGGGACAGGCACTGGGGGGCAGGGGACAGTCCCCTGGCTGTTGATAAGACAGGCAAGTGGGAGTCAGGACCTGATCTTCTCCCTGAGGGTCTGTAGGACCCAATCTGCGCTTCAGTGTCCCCACCTGCACGCTGGGGACAGCCTGAGCTACCTCTGAGGAGGGATGGGGCACCCTGCCCGGCTCTGCACAGCCCCTGGTGGAAGGTGCCACCCTGTGCCAGGTGTTGTGATGCACCAGGTGTTGTGCCCTGTGCCAGGTGTTGTGACGTGCCAAGTGTTGTGACGCACCAGGTGTTGTGACACCGCCAGTGCCACCTGTGTGAGCCTGGGAGGAGCCCGAGACCTCCCAGCCACCCCGAGAGACCCCGGCCCGCCCTGGAGGAGCCCTCCCGCGGGGGAGGACAGCGAGGAGGCGACGGAGGGAGTTTTTTAAAGACTATTTTTAGCTGTCCTGACCTGTTGGGCCTTTTTTAGCCGGCGCGTGGACACGGCTCCACTTCCCGCCGGATATGCAATGCTGCACTATGCATGGGTTACTACAATAATAAAGCTTCGATCCTGGCCTTTCTATCGAGCCGTGCAGGATGGTCTGGGAGCCTCCATGGAGCTTTCCCAAGCTCTGTGAAGTCTGCTACAGATTACTCCTCTGGCTCGCTGGGAAACGGCCACAAAAGCACTTTTGGGAATGCGACCCCGTGATCACACGGGTGCTCCGGGGGAGCGGGCTGCCCTGGGGGCTTGTGCCAGCGCCAGCGGGGTCCCTGCTGTCCCCAGGGCTTTGGGGGGGCTGCAGGGGCACCCTGAGGTGTGTGCTGCCACAGACACGTGTGTGTGTCCAAGCACAGATAGAGCTGGTGGGGAAGCTGGGGGTAAGCACAGGGGGGTGTGCGCCGGGCTCTGTGATGACTTACAGCACATCTTTGCACTGTAGAGGTTTAGTTAGCTTTGCCTTGAATGAAATAAAGTTTACGTTTACTAGAGAAACTCGCCGGTGTTTGGGGTTGCTGTGGGTGTTTGTTTAGGTCTGGGGGGCGGCTGAGTGAAAATAATCCCGTGAGGAAGCAGGAGGAAGGCTCGGGAGGCTGAGTGAAAAACAAATCCTTTCCTTTAATGGGAATGGGGGGAGGCTGTAGAGCACAAACATCATTTCTCTCTGTACAACAGGAGCGAGCTGACAGCAGCTTGGCCCCCCAGGAGCCATCCTGCCGCAGCAGGGTCAGCACAGGGCAATAAATTAATCTTCCTCCGGAAGGGAGCTCAGGCCAGAGAGATTCCTTCAGCGGCCGCCACTCCGAGTCACCCTTTGCCTCCTTGGCTGGGCTCTGGCACCCTCAATCACAGCTGCCATGAGGCGTTGGGAGCCTTGCTCACCTTCCGTGGCTGGAGATCTGTGGCCCTGCTGCTGCCAGAGCCAGGGCAGAGGGTGGGAGGGGAGGCTGGGGGCGAGGAGCGACCTGTTCCAGCAGGTCTCAGAGCTCTGACTGTGGGGAGAGAGAGGCACAGAGAGAGAGGCATTGAGGGCTCTGGAAGGGTGGCCAGAACAAGAGCAAAGCAGCAGAAGTGTCCCTTTGGGGGCAGCTCAGCGAAGGGAACTGCAGGACGGCACTGACCCTGCGCACGGCGTAGATCCAGTCCAGGTAGGCACGGACGCTGGTGTAGACTCCAGGAGTGCTGGGGGTGCCGCAGCCCTGGCCCCAGCTGACGATGCCCACCACCTGCCAGTGCCCTCCCGAGTAGAGCAGGGGCCCGCCGCTGTCCCCCTGGCAAGGACAGACCCTCAGGATGGCCCCACAGAGCCACAGCCGTGCCAGAGCAGCTCTTCCCTCCCAGGAGCCGTGGCACAGATGGGTGTGAACCCACCCAGCCCCTGGCCAGCCCTGCCCCACACCTGGCAGGTGTCCACGCCGCCCTGGGGCAGCCCGGCACACAGCATCCTGTCGGTGACATCGCCNACAGGGCAGGGGGGCTCAGAGCATGGGGCTGCAGGGCCTGGGGTGTGGGGAACACGGCAGATGGGAACCCCTGGTGCAGGGGGCTCAGGGTCAAGCTGGGGGCACCCTGAGGGGAGGAGGAGGATGCACAGCAATGTCCTGCTGCCTGTCCCCACCCTACCCCTCACAGCAAAGCAAAGGTGGGTTCACAGCAGCACATGGCTCTGACTCCTCTCCCTCCTCTTCCTCGTGCCTCCCCAGGGCCTGACTTTGTCTTCAGCCTCTACGACTCGCGGTGAGTGATGCCATGGGGGTACCAGGGCAGGCTGGCACCTCCCCTTGAGCAGAGCCACAGCTCCTCCCCAGCCAGTCCTGCTGCTGGCAGGGGCTGCAGGAGGAAGGGTCTGCAGCTCGGTGACCCCTGTGCTGTCCCTGCAGTGGGCTGGGCTCGGTGGCACTGGAGCTGGTGCCACCCTTCAGCATCAGCGGCTCGCTGGGCACCTCGGGCAGTGCCTACGAGCCCTTCCACAGCCAGAGGCCGTGAGGGGAGAGCTGGGCTGCTGAGCAGGTAGGAAGGACATCCCCTTGTCCCCCCCAAAGCCTCCATGCTGCCTGGCAGCCCCTGGGCATCACAGCTTTCCTCAGCACAGCCCAAGGTATTCCAGTCCTGCCTGCGGCTCTGGGGCTCAGAGCCTTTCCCTGAGCTCTGGGTTTGCTTTTTCCCCCACAGGCCTTGGTTTGTGTCTCCTTTCCTGCTGTCCCAGGCACAGAGGATGGGGCTGGAGCCCTGGGTGCTCCTGCAGAGCTTCCCCTCTCTGCCTCTCACTCACAGCCCAGCACCAACAGAAAAAGCAACCAAAACTGCCCGGGGGGAATTCCTCCGTTTTCACTTCTGTAAGAAACAGCCCCTGAATTTGTTGGATTTCAATCCAAATGGCCACGGTGCAGTTTCTGTTGCTGAAAAATCTTCCCAGGATCACAGAAGCCTTGGGGCTGGAAAAGACCTCTGGCCCAACCGCCCTGTGCCCAAAGTCACCTGGAGCAGGTGACACAGGAACTCACGCAGGTGGGTTTGGGACATCTCCAGAGAGGGAAACTCCACCAATTCCCTGGGCATCTCCTCCACCTGCAGCTCCCTCACTGGGTCCCTGCAGCCACGAGTGCACAGGAGGTGCCTGGGCTGGTGCTTGGGATGGAGGAAGAGGATGCAGCTCTGTCCAGGATTCCTCAGCATCCTGCAGAAAACATTCCCCACGGCTCAGAGACCTCCCAGCCTCCTGCACACCAGAGCCCTGGCACCAGGCTGGTCCTCAGGGAACCAGCTGAGGAGCAGCCCCAAAACTGGGTGAGTGCATTGGTGCAACTGCAGAAAACACCGAGAGGAAATGGGAAATCTGTCTCAACCCTCGTCCTCCTCCTCCATCCAGTACCTGCACCCACATGGATGGAAGTTGGTTCTCCACACTCCCAGTGCAAGGAAACACCTCAGAAAGCCCTTGTGGAAGTTCCTTGTGGATTTTTGGTGCCATTTGCCTTCGTTTTCAGCAGAACAAGGGGCTGTGAAGTTCCTGGAGCACAGGAACAGCCCTGGGGAGGATCTGTGGCTACAGAGAGGGGCCCTGCTTGGCCAGGGGTGCTGGTGAGGCACGGTGGGGAGCCTTGGGACCATTTCTTTGCGAGTTTCTCTCAGAAGAAAAAGGAAAAACTCACAAGAGCCACGTGGCATAGGGAAACCAGTGAGGACAGAGCGGGATTTCCAGGGAAATTTCAGAATTCAGAGGGACCAGCTGTGCTCTCGGCCACCGAAACTGAACCCTGTGGTCTGCGGCTTTCTCCTGGCTCAAAGGAGACCTGCTCAGGGGACTGCTCAGGGGAAGGGGAAATGCAGCTGCTGGGGGCTGGGAGCCCTCGTTGTGAGCAGGACCCAGCAGAGCCCTGCGTGACGCAGGATCCGCCCGTGGGGCCCGACGTCAGCGGCGTTCAAAAGAAAAACTAAAAAAAAGCGCCACGTTTTTGATGACTGCATTTTCCAGAGGAAGTTGGAAAAAAATAAAAAGAAAGCAAAAAGTTTTAACCCTCAAAATGCACAGAGAAGAAGAGATGGGGCCAGTGGAGGGGCAGGAGGAGGCTCTCAGTGCCCTCCACATCCCTGTGGGATGCAGGGATGGAGTTCACGTGTGAGCAGCACCATGTAAGAGAGGTGTAAGAGAAGGAATCACAAAGGATCAGCCCCCTCCTCCTGCCTGCACTGGAAAAGCTGAAAAGAAACCCAAAAAACCCTTCACCTGAAAACCACATTCCCCCAGGAGGGTTTCCCACCCTGAAGGTTCCTGGAAATGACTTCTGGAAAAACTTCCCTGAGACCTGGAGGAGCTGCTGGTGAGGTCACCCTGTTTCCACTCTGATGACAGCTGTTCACAGAATCGATTTGTTTGGAAAAGACCTCTGAGGTCATGGAGCCCAACCTGTGACCGAGCACCACGTTGCTGAGCAGAGCCCTGGCTCTCGCCTTTCCTCCATCCCTGGGTTTGATTTGTCCTCCTGTCCCTCCCTGGGGCTGTCCCATGGGATGTGCATCCCTGTGGGACCACTGGGAGCAGCCCAGCTCCTTTTCCATTCCTATGGGATCACTGGGAGAGCCCAGCTCCTTTTCCATTCCTATGGGATCACTGGGAGCAGCCCAGCTCCTTTTCCCTGCTGCTCCTCTGGTGATTGCCCCCACAAATTCCTGAGAAGCTCCTGGAGACCTGGCTTAGTTCTCCTTTTTCCCAGTTATGACGTGGAAATTCCCCTCCACACACGAGGCAAAGGCACATTGCGTCCTGCTGATGGACAACATCCAAATCTGGAAACAGACAGCTCAGCTTGGCCTCAGGAGAGGATAAACAGGCAAATAGACCAAATAAATAACACATCCTTTCTGTATTTACAAATGAAATGCAATAAATAGTGTCTGTGTCCGAGAGTGGCAGAACACAGACCATAGTGTGGGTAGGAGTGCCCTGGCTCGTGCAGGGGCTGTGGGTGCATCCCAGATGCTGCCCTGGGCTCCCCCAGGGGTCTCTGTAGGGTCGGGAAGGGCTCTGGGTCCATCCCTGGGGTCAGGCAGGGCAGGAGCCCCATGCTGCCAGCAGCAGGGTGCTGATGTCAGCCTGACCTCAGTCTCTGTGTTGTGAAAGCCTGGGATGGCACCGGGAGTGGGGACGTCAGCCCAGCTGGCCCAGGACAGGGGGAAGTGGAAGCACAGGACCGGCCCAGCCCCCAGAGTGGCCCTGCAGCCCGTGCTGGCAAGGCAGAGGTGCCCTGGGTGTACCTTGGTGTCCCAAGGAGGTGGGGATGAGCCCCCAGCACAGCCCATCCCTGTGTCCCCTTAGCTGGGGTGGCTGCAGGGGTGCCCCCATCAGGGGCTGAGCTGGTGCTCCTGGTTCACGGCTGGCACTGTGCACATCCAGGGTCAGGAGTAGCTTATCCAGTGGCATTCGAGGTAGTTGGGTCGCAGCCCAGGCTGGTGGCCCCAGGGTCACAGGCGGCTGTCCTTGCTGTCCCCGCTGATCTGGCCCAGGGGCGGGGTGGGCAGCGGGACCCAGCTGGAGCCGAGGCTGGGCAGCACCCCAGGGAAGGCAGTGTTGTAGAAGATGTGCAGATCGAAGGGAGTTTTCGGATCAGGGCTGGCTTTGGAGGTCAGTGGAGCCCCTGGGGCTGCCCAGCTCAGCAGGGTGGGCACCTGGGGCCCCTCCTGGCTGGAGAACGCACAGGCAGGGGCTCCCCAGGGAGAGAGGGGCTGTGTGAGGGGATGCTCGGGGTTGGACTGCTTCAGATACCCCTTGGCCACAGCCAGCTCACAGCACTCCATGTCCAGCACGGCGTCGGTGCTGCCCAGGCCCTGCAGGGACCCTGCACAGCCCAGGAGGGGCTCTCCCTGCCCCGGGGCCCTCTCTGGCTCCACGGTGCCCTTGGACTGCTGCAGGTACCCCCTGAACTCCACTTCAGCCTGGCCAGGGGCAGGGCACAGCCCTGGGCTGGTGTTCCCACTGCCAGAGGAGCAGCCAGCAGCAGGGCAGGGGCTGCCCAAGCCCACCCCGCTGTCCTCAGCCCTGGGCAGCTGCTGCCTGTAGCCCTGGGGCTCGATGGCCAAGGAGCAGCTCAGGGAGGAGGAGGAGGATGAGGAGGAGGAGGAAGGGATGTGCAGGCAGATTCCGCTGTCAGTGCTGGTGCCGCTGCTGTCTCTGCTCGCTGTGGGTCCCAGACGGTCCTTGGGCCACGCTGACAGCTTCCAGCCCTGCTCCAGGGGCTGCTGGGCTGTGCTGGTGCTGCTGTCAGGGCTGCTGCCCAGCTGGGGCTCCTTGTGGCACAGGAAGAGCTGCTGGATGGGGTCTGCATCCAGGCTGCCCGAGGATGGGGGCTCCTGCTCCACCCAGAGCGAGCTCTGCTTCATGAGGGACTTCTGGGAGGGAGAGGAAGAGGGGAGTGAGCTGTGCTTCATCCCTGGTGGGTGCCTGCCTCTCCCAGCCCTCCCCGAGCCTGCAGGGCACTGTCCCTGCCTTACCAGGGCAGACGGTGTCCTCACAGGTCTCCTGATGTAGGTACAGGCCAGCAGAGCCCCCAGGAGCCCCAACAAGGACAGGGTGATGAAGAAGGAGCTGAGGATGGTCGGGAGGAGCTCTGCACTCCCTGCAAGAGAGGACGTGACCAGGTGAGGGGGAGAGGGGATTCCTCAGTGCTCACAGCACCCAGAGGCTGCCCTGGCGTGGATCCCCACACTGCCAGGGCCAGGAGGCTGGGATGGGGGGTCAGCATCCCATGGTTCCCCCTCCCTGGGTGTCACTTACTGTCCCTGGGGCCGGTGGTGACACACTGCTCATCAGAGCGCATGCTGGGGACGGGCATGTTGGCCAGGCTGGGCTCCACGCTCAGGCAGTACTCTGTGAGCCAGAACAGCTCCCTGATGGTGAACTCGGTGCTGTTCTTCACCACCGTGATCTGCAACAAACAGCACGGGCTGGAACCTGGGAGCCTCCAGCTCCTGCTTACCTCCCTCCACCTCCTCCTCTGCTGTGCCCTGGGAGAGTCCCCAAGGTGTGCTGTGACAATGATGACAGCAGCTAGATCCAGAATTCCCCCGAGAGCTGGAAAACTCTGCCATAAAACACGCAGAGAAGCCTCTCTGTGCCGCTGTGGCTGTGACAAAGCTCAGCACTTACTCCTGCGGACAGCCTGCTCTAACAGTCTGTTTTTCCACTTGAGCAGCGCCCTGTGGGACAGACGGGGACAGCAGGGGGACTGCCACTCCTCTCACCGTGTGGTTGTCCCGAGTCCTCCGCAGGTACACGTGGTAGCGGCTCATTTCCCTCTGCAGCTCGCTGTTCTCGGGGCTGATGCTCCCGGGGCGCAGCAGCAGCCGCAGCCGCACCTGGATGGAGTTGCCCATCACGGAGAGGCTCTGCCCGGCCAGGCGAGGGCCAGCTGGAAGCAGAGCAGTCACAAAGGCAGGTCAGGGCTGTTTCCTGTTCACAGCTCAGCCCCTGCAGCACCACACCGAGCTGGGACCATCCCACCCGCCCTCGGGCTGCTCCATCCCCCTGCACAGCCCTCCAGGAAGGTGGCGAGGGAAAAATCCCAGCTCCCGTCCATCCCTTAGCCCTGAGACAGAGTAAAAATCCCCCAGAGTAGAAATCCATTTCAATTTAGGTGAAATATACATCTTAAGTCTGTAAGGCCTAAGCTAAAGAGAAAACTGAGCCAATGAAAGACAGATAAAGGAGAGACAAGAGGAGACAAATAAAGAAAGACAGAAACTGCTGTAGAAGCAAGTCAACTTGGCCTAAGAATTTTTTCTGATAAAAAAAAGAACTAGCAGCAAATGTCACGTGAAATCCGTAAAAAATAAATATGTATGAACCTATTGTGAAACTGTATGCATGTGTATTTGAAAAAGAGGTAAAAAGAGACCCGAAGCTCCCAAAGGTACGCATGCCTTTTAAAGAGAGTAACCTCCGTATGCGTCCAGCGCTGCAATAATAAACATACCAGCTTTACAACTTTCACAGAAATGTAGAGTTTTTGACTCCCTCCGCAAAACAGCACCCTGACCCCCCCAGCTCCAGCACAGGCTGCAGACAGAGCCCAAGGCACCTTGCTCTGGCGAGAAGCTTCCAGTCATTTTCCAGGCGGACGTGATGTTCCCGGCCACAGCCCTGACCCTCGCGTGGTAGCGCTTCCCCGGGTCCATGGTGTAGTGGGTGAGGTCACAGGAGAGCTCCGTGGTGTTCCAGCACTCGGGGATGGCTGTCCAGGGCACGCGGGTGCCATAGCTGTGGGAGAAGCAGCGGGGGTGAGCAGAGAGCTGGGGCAGGCACTGGGCAGGGCAGGACCCGTTGTTGTTACTCCCCCGCGCTGTTACTCACACGATGTACTCCACCTCGTAGCTGGCGTTGCTGGGGCTGCCGTGCCCCGGCTCCCACTGCAGCAGGTGCCAGCCCATCTCTGTGGTGATGTGTACAGAACGGGGCATGGGCAGCTCCTCACCTGTGGGGCACACCTGGGCTCAGGTGGGGCTGCACAGCCCTGCCCCACCTCAGCCCCCAGGAACCTTGGGACGGCCTTGTGCAGCTTCACCCGTGATGGGTGACGTGACAGCACTGACCACCCCAAAGGTTTCTCTTTCCAGCTTCCAGGATTTGCTCAGCCCCCTCTTCTCCTTCCTCTTTCTTTTTTGGGACAGCCCAGCTGGGGTTTCTTGGTGCTTCTCAGCCCCAGGGAAGGAGCTGTATTTGCATCCCCCATCCCCTGCCGCTCGCCACCAGCTCTGTTTGGACTCGGCTTTCCTGTTTTGCTCTTCTGCTGCCTGGGTGAAACCAGACTTTTCACACCTCCTGCCTGATCTCCGTGTTGTCACCTGGCAGAAAAGCCCCGCTGATGACATCTGACACTTTTCGCTTGCAGGTGTCCCTGGCAGCTGCTGCCTGCTGGCCAACCCCCAGCCCAGTGCCATGTCCCCACTGCCTGTGGGGCCCCTCATGGGGACAATGGG